CCCCAAAACCCCAAAACCCCGTGCTACTCGAAATAACGAAATTCTCTAATTTAAATGAGAAAAGTTGAAATTTCTTTTAAATTCAATAATCTTACATTGTAAATACTCAGCTACAATAGCCTTATCAGATAATTTTTAATTTAAAATTGATCATAGCAAATATCAAAGAAATGAAGGATGTTCTGATTACATTCATGATTGTCATGGTCAAAGGTATTCCCAGAATGGTAATTGGGTTAAACTCAATTTCTTTTTAAAGACGCTCTTAGATAGTATCAATAGCATTCATTGATTGTTTAATCATTCTCTTACCCCATTTTTCTCCAACATCCTCAATCTTGTATTAGAAGTATAAAAAGGCATCTCTGTAGGTATTATTTAAAAGCGCTTCTTTTGTTTCCTATGAGTTGATTGAATAATCCCACTCTTGCAAAATTCTTTGCATTATGCTCTTAATTTCACTCAATCTTAGGAGATGATTATTTGAGATATCATTTATTTTAGATCCAACATTGAAAAGCTCATACAGAAAGATAAATACCACTATCAAGTCTAAGCCAACTGTAAGAATCAAAGATTATTAAATATTGTGCTATTCATGTAAAACGAAATACCAGGCTAGGAATAGACCTCCAACTAAAGAATAAAAAATAAGATAAATCGTAGCGAATGCTTTAAATCTAATAAAGAATCTCTACCCCAAATCTAGATACATCATTCTCATGTCCATCCAGGAAAGTAGTGATTTGGCATCAAAATAATTGATGAGAGTAAAGTTCCTAAATCTTTCCTTTATTTTATATCTGTTAGGTTCAAGATTAGCCTCACATTGGTGCATAGCTACAAGTCTTCTTTTCATATCTTAATTTCCCATTGCCAGAAAATATATATTCAAGGACCACATGTAGGTATTGAAAAATAGCAATAGGACATTATGAACCCAGAATGAATAATCGAGGTACTTTTAATTTATCTTGTCTACATTTTCTGCTGTATAATCTTCTTGTAACTCAATCATAAGTGGAAGAATACTATGAAGGAAACGTACAGGAATAAAGTGAATTATTGAGTAAGGAGTAACGAAATGTTTTATTTTCAAAAACATTTCTCTGAACACTAATCTCCCTGGATATTAAGTATATAAATCCTACTTATTTGGAGCTTCTAGTTAGGTCAAACGAATACTCATCTCATTTTCTACTTATACTATATGCTATTCTGATCTATTACTTGATTTTAGAGTTTGCTTATTTGATTCTTGTATAAATAATTTTAGATTTTACTGATACATTTGTCTTTCTTTTTTTACATCATAAGTCCTTTCTCTGACAAAATTATAATCAAGAAGCTTTTTTTTAGCATCATTGTTGATCTTAGTAAAAAATTTGATCTTAAAAAATACATTTTCTACCTCATTTCTAATCATACAGCATTTGATCTCTTTATCTAATAGATCTGGCTTAATATCCATCCAACCTGTTGAGATCCATTCAGATTCTAATTCATTTCTTGTAAGAATTCTATCCTATTATATTTTAAGTGTTGAAGAAACAGTTGTAGCGTATCTTACAGCCACTATCATAGATCTTAAAAATATTTAAACAAGTGCAACAATTAGCATAGCTTTGGAAAGCTACCCCCTCTCATTTTGAAATATGTGCAAATACATAGGTATTATCAAGGTCAACCATTATATAGTTTGCATTAAATTAGATCTTGAGAGTCCATAAAATCCCATATTAATTAGAAGCTATTTTGTCTCAAATATTCTTAAGATAAAATAAGTAAAAGGGCCTAGCACCAGAAAATACAAAATGTGATAGAAAAGAAATTTGGCGAAATAGTCGATTTTGAATTACGTGTAGCTATCCCTAATTATTAAATCCTCTTTGTTAAATGGATCATTACACATTGACTTGATTTGAGAGTAAATAATTTCATCAATTTTTTATCTTCTACTTTTTTAATCTGGGTTTAAACTTAGTGACTCGAAGTCTTTAGAAGAATCAGACTAATTTTTCGTCGAGAAAAGTATTTTAGATTATCTATTTGAAGATTATAAAAATCATTCTTACAATCTGTCACAGCTTTGCTCTAAATCATCAGATTATTTTTCATAGTCATCTAATTCTTTTTAGGCTGCTTCATATTCCTATATCACCATGTCTATTGAGTCTTTAATTCCAGACCTTTCAGACTTAGAGGATGTAAATATTTCACGATCATTTGGATTGATTTTAACCTTTTTGCT